CAGAGATGCCTGTTCCATGCAAGCCATTCTGTGCCCATGCTTAGAAACACTGCCCAACGCTATCTGTATACTTGGGTGATGGAAAAGAGGTGGCTGGGAGGGTTTAGAGCCACTGGGCTGTGCCCCATGCTGGGGAATTCTTCTGTGCCATTCTGGCCTGCAGAAAGGAAAATAAAAAGAAAAGAGGGAAAAAAGGGAAGAAGGAAAACAAGCTACTGGGCAGAGGGAATGTTCTCCCATGCCAAGCTCAGCTTGAATTAATACACAACACAACCTCTTAAAGCAGGACACAGCTCTAAACTAAGAGTCTCCCAATGGAGCTGATGAAAAGCATCAGGAAGTGGAGACTATTCTAGAAGGAAAACAGCGGCCACATGAGATATTTTCTTCACTCTGCTGTTTGCAATCTTGTCACTCTGGTCAAGGCCACATCTTTGAGTCAATAGGGTGATGTCTTTGAAGCCCAAGGGCACTGGTATGAGTTCTGCCCCCTCAGTAAGAACAATCCCCCAGGAGCGAGGGCTGGCTGTCTCCCAGGGCCTCTGTGGTCCGCTACAATGACTGATAGAGGGCATTTAAAGTTTGAATTCCTCCCAGAAACCTCAGGAGGATCTCCTTCTCAAGAGAAAAGGCTAATTGGTTACAAGGACATCTGTCCAAAAAGCAACCATGGCTTCTTCTTACCAGGAACTCTGGTCACCAGAGAGGAGGGAACACCCGACAAGGGACAACACAGGGAGTCTGGTGGCTTTCGGATCATAGAAAAAATGCTCCAGGATCTAGTACACTGCATGTGATTTAAAGAGAACTTAAAAGGGAACATGGAGGGCTGGGTGTGAGTTGCACACCAGTAATCCCAGCACTCAAGAGGCAGAGGAAGGAAGGCCATGAGTTCAAGGCCACTTTGGGCTATACAGAGAAACCATATCTCAAAGCTTGTGTGAGTGTGTGCGTGCACGCACACACACTAGAAAACCCTTCAACAGAAATAATAAACACACATATTACTAACCTGACTGAAGTGCGCTAAAGCAACACATTATATTCTAAGGGTCCACACATATATACACAATGGTAATTATGAGAAGTAAAGGACATGCTGGCTATTTTAATTATAGGATGGGTACATAGTGTGTATGAATCTATATTTATGGATACACTTAAAAAGATATACATCATACCATCATGTCATGTGTATTCCTTGAGCAGATTCTATTTTGTCAAGTGTTACTTTGCTGAAGCTGTAAAAAGAGCGGAAATAAAGACAATACTTTTTTTGGGTTGGCTGATGCTCAGCTGAGCAAGTATGAGCCCAACAGGTCCCTGAAATGAGAGGTAAAATCCTTGGAAATCAGAGCTCTGTTTCCAACAGTCTTTTCTAGAGAGAAATGGTACACCTGTCTACATTTTATGAGTCTATCCATTTTGACATTTATGTGAGTCAATCTTATTAATCAATATTGAAAAACAAGCGAGACTAGAGTGTTCTGAATTTGTTGGGAAGGGAGCTCTTCCATGGGGAGAATCTGACCCAAGAGCCTTGCTCACCCATGTGAGTCTTGACCCAAGGCACCAGCTGTCAGTGATGCCTGTGTGCATGTGTGTGTGTGTGCATGTGTGTGCATTTCCATTTTACTTATGAATAGTTACGTATCTTCTGTCAGTGTAAGCTTTGAAGGAGGGGGCATGTGACAAGGCCTCCCACCTGTAAACAAAACAAGCCACTGGAATCAAATTGAACTTGCCAAAAAAGCCTGGCACAGAGGAATAGTCACAGTGTGACTGAGCAACAGGGACCTCCACTTCAAAAGACAAACTTCCTCAAGAGTGCTGCAGATGACGGGAGGGAAGAGGGGAGCCAGCAACTGCAGCAAGCTCCAGGCAGGTCCCTAGAAAATAGGACCTAAGATGATGGCAGCTCGGGAGCCAGCAGAGTACCCAGAATTTCACTCGGGACCATGCCACAGCACCAAGTTCCCAGCACTCAGATTCTCGATCTCTCTACTCCAGGAGAGGTGAGTAGGATGTTAAAGACTCCAGGGTTGGCTTCAGAACAGCTGCTGAGGATACGATGGCTGAGGGTCTTAGGGAGATTCTTGTCTGGGCTCCCAAACCAGAGAACAAGAGGAGTTATTTAGAAATGGCCATGGTTCTGCCATTCGTAATCCACCAGCAGGCAGGCTGCCTTCAGGTTGTTTTCTTGTAGGAAGGAGGCTGCTTGTTGGTTCCCAGCTGCTTCGCTCCGAAATAATCACGCAGAAACTGTATTAATTAAATCACTGCTTGGCCCATTAGCTCTAGCTTCTTATTAGCTGACTCTTACATATTAATTTAAGCCATTTCTATTCATCTGTGTATCGCCACCGTGGCTGTGGCTTACCAGCTAAAGTTCCATCTGACTCAGGCAGGGCTACATGGCTTCTCTCTGTCCTTCTTCCTCCCAGCATTCAGCCTAGCTTTCCCCACCTAACTAAGTTCTGCCCTGCAATAGGTCCAAAGCAGTTTTCTTTATTAATCAATGGTAATCACAGTATACAGAGGGAAATTCCACATCATTTTTTTTTTATCAATGCAATGTAAATATCTGTGAAAATACCCTAATGTTTCTAATCTGACTTGCTTGGTTCATCTGGTCTACCTGGGGACGCTGAGGAAGCATGTGAGCTGAACTCAGGAACATGTTGGAGGAAGAAGTCCTACCCTTTTCCCTTCTCCCAGGTTCTCCGGCTACACAGAATTAGACCTGGGGCAGCCACCATATTACCTATAGACTAGAGAAGAAGGAGGGTGGGGCCTCTGTGGAACATGAGACCCTTCCAGAGATAAATGCAACAGTGGTCAACAATGGCAAAGTAGCCCAAGAGGCTAGCAGTGTTGAACTAGCCAGGCAAAGAGAGGAAGTGGGTAGCCCCCAATCCAAAAACTGCTTCTTAGTCTTCCCTGCCCCTCTTACTCCCTTCCCAGGGTGACTTACTTTGTGGGTTGCTCCCACCAACCCTGGTGGTGAGCAGAGACTGGAGCAGGGCAGGAAAGTGTCTGGGTCAGATGATTCTGCAAGCAACCTGCCCTCACCACTAAAGTCATCCTCCTGAAGAGGACAGATGGTGTAAGCTGCTGGGAGCTCTGGGGTACTCAGTACCCATGTTAGTCATCTCCAGAGGGGCCTGAATTTGACTGCCCATGTTCACAGAGTTCCTTCCATGTGGGCATAGTACAGGTGGCATAAAGATTAGCCATAGTGGGGGCAGGTGATGTAGGAAGGTCTTCTATCTATCTGTTGCTTTCATTGGTTAATAAAGAAAACTGCTTGGCCTGATAGGTCAGAACATAGGTAAGAGGAGTAGACAGAACAGAATGCTGGGAAGAAGGGAAGTGAGGCAGATGATGAAGCTCTGGCCCAAGATGGACGTAGGTTAGAATCTTCCCAGTGAGCCACCACCTCGTGGTGCTACACACATTAATAGAAATGGGTTAATCAAGATGTGAGAGTTAGCCAGTAAGAGGCTAGAGCTAATGGGCCAAGCAGTGTTTAAACGACTACAATTTGTGTGTTGTTATTTCGGGTGTAAAGCTAGCCATGAGGGAGCCGAGTGGGACGAAAAGCAGGTCTGCTTGCCTCATCATTACAGACAGGTGTCATTCATTCAATAGCTAAAGATCCTACTGTGAACCAGACATTGAGAACACAATGTGGACTAAACTCAGTTGTGGTGAGATTTTGTTTGTGATCTAACCAATAAAGCTTGCCTGAAGATCGGAGTGCAGAGCTAACCACGCTAGTTAGCCATAGAGGCCAGGCAGTGGTGGCACATACCTTAAATGCCAGCACTCATAAGACAGAGGCAGGCAGATCTCTGTGAGTTCAAGGCCACTCTGAGCTATACAAAATTGACTCAGTCTAAAAGAGAAACAGAGTCAGACGGTGATGGCTCTCACTTTTAATCTCAGTACTTGGGAGTCACACTCCTTTAATCCTGGCACTAGGGAGGTGGAGATAGGAAGGGAAATGGCTGGGTGGAGAGAGGACTATAAGGCAGGAGGAGACAGGAGCTCATTGCATTCAGCCTGAGGATTCATGGAGACAAGATCTTGCCCACTTTGGTCTAAGAATACGGTAGAGGTAAAAAGTCTCTCTAGTGGCTGACTCCTTTACTTCTCTAATCTTTCAGCATTTATCCCAATATTTGACTCTGGGTTTTTATTATTAAGACTAATTAGAATTCATACTATACCCAGTTGCCTCTCCCGAATAGTGGTAGGAACTGCCATTAATCAAACAAACACAAAAACAAATATAGAGATTTAGATTGGGATGAACTCTTCGAAGGCTGGTAATCTGCAGTACAAAATAGCTAACAATCTCAAGACAGCCACGGTAGAACTGGACATTGCCAAAGAAACTCTTGACCTGCCCTTGACTTTGGGTAAGTTAAACCTCATTCTCGCCTATAAAATGGGTCACCACAGAGAGACTTCGGCACATTTCAGGAATGAGCTCATTGAAAACCCCCAATAACAGCTAGCTTGTGTTGGGAGAAGAAACTTCTGGAACCCAGTTGCTAAGGCTCAGAGTGTCTCAGCACAGCCCAGGGACCCCAACTCATCTCGTCCCCGGCAGACAGACCCGGGCTTTCCTCATCTCTCGGGAGACCCAACGGACTCCAGCCAGAACTTGTGAGCACGGCCGTTATTACAGTCCTGGGTCTCTTTAAGCAGTCACTGCCAGGACTGTGGGGGATTCATGGTGATTCAGCCCTGGCCCAGGGAGCTGGACACACAATGGCTCAGCCAGGACATGGCCGTGAGCCTGAAAGCTGCTGCAAGAAAACAAAGCTGTTCTCGGGCCTTCTCAAGCTCCCCCCTCCCCGACCCCTGCTGCGTTCAACGGGCAGGCATATTCTGTCCAGCCCCTGTCCCCAAGGTGGACTAAGGCTGGCTTCACGCTCTTGGAGGTTTGAAGGCAACACAATTATTCCAGCAGAGAAATCAGGCAACTGACAGGAAAGAAAAGGAAAAACAAAAAAAGAAAAGAAAAAGCAAAAGAAACCAAGCATGTTTCTATCTCCCTTCAGGAAGTTTATCTGTATATGGTCTCCTCTTTGGATCGGGGGAGGGAGACAGAAAAGAAAAGTTATCAGCCTCATTCAAATGTGCTGGTCCTGGGAGCTCAGGAATACTGCTTTGAGGGCTCATTGGCCAGTTTCCACGCTGTTTCCAAGCAACGTGACATGCAATCCATCCATCGGAACCTTATCACGGAGTCAGTGAGCCGGAAGGCGCTGAAGAGCTCTCTGCCCAGACTCCCTACACTAAAGCCCCTGGGGAGGCTCAGGCAGAATGAAAAAGAAGGCAACAGTGACCCCAAGAAGATGAGAACGAGACCAGGACTGGTGGTGTAGGCCTGGGATCCCGGATACGGATACTCAGGAGACTGTGGCAGAAGGATCAAAAGATCAAGGTCTGTCTGGGCTAGGGTGAGTTCAAGGACAACCTGGGAACTTAGTGTGACCCTGTCTAGGGGACTGAAAATGAAGGCTGGGCAGTAGCTAAGTGATGAAAGGTTGCTTGGCATGTGTTAAGCCCTGCATTCAACCCCAGGTATGGGAGAATGAAACAAAGAGCAGGGAAAAGGGGGAAGGGGGAAGAAAAGAGGGAGGGAGGGGGGGAGAAGAAAAGAGGGAGGGAGGGAAGGGAGAAAACAAAGAAAGAAGGAAGGAGAGAGGGAAGGAGGGAGGGAGGGGGGGAGGGAGGGAGAGAGAGAGAGAGAGAGAGAGAGAGAGAGAGAGAGAGAGAGAGGTCCTAGAGTCTTAAAGGCAAGGCATGGTTATTTGAGCAGAGCTGAGGCTGGGCAGCTCACTCCAGGACATTGCCCACTTATTCCCCACCCTGTTTCACGGATCTCTGGGGTGGATCGCGCAAGGGTCTTATAAGAATGTGCTTTGGGAAGGAACAGCAAGCATGTCTGACCTCCTGGCCTCTCCTGTAGTTATGACCACCCTTAAAATATATAAGGCAAAGATCTAGCAGCTGTCCTTCAATTTTCCCAAAGCAGGATGCAAAGTGGTCCTTCCTCTCTGTCTATCTCCGAGGCCACTTCCTGGTTTGCTCGAAGCCACTGCAGCTCAGGGCCTGCATGCTGGATGTGGACATCTGGACAAACTGAGCAGTCTGAACGGAGTCCTGGCAGTGGCTGCTTAAAGAGACCCAGGGCTGTAATAACGGCAGCAATCGGAGGTTCTGGCTAGAGTCAGCCGTGAAATCAGAGTTGCAATGTTCCAAGCCTGCTTCTCAGGGAGACCTTAGACAGAAAGGCCGGAACTAAAAGTCAGATTGTAACACACACCAACCAAGGACGACTATTTCTGCAGATAGACCACACTGCAGCAAACTGCGCACATAGATTCTCGCAGTGGCACAGAGGCGCTAAGAAAGAAATGGCCATTGTCGTGCTTCTCGTGTGCAGCATTTAGCTTTTTAAAATTGGAAACAAAAAAGTGAATTCAAAAAGCTGAGCAAAGCAACAGTAAACTCCTTCTGGGTTCTTCCCCAAGAAGGTACCTGACCTAGGTGTGTATGACTCCCCAAAAAACCACTGAGCCTGGCCGAGCATGGGCACCACAGCTGGGCAGCAGGAGACTCCCAGGGGGCAGCCCACCCCCTCTCTTCACACCACAGGACTTACCGGCCAAGGGCCAATGATCCCCAGGCATGAAACCAAATGAACAAAGAGGTTACACAACTCAGTAATCACACAAGAGCCAAAACAGGCCCTGACATCATAAGCCCACCAACGTCTCCCCAGTCTTTCGTGTGAGCTCACATTATAAATAAACAACCATGATTAATCAGATTATAAATATATAACAATAAACGGTATAAACATAATGACAAACTTCATAGAGTACACTTGAGTCCATAAAGTTAGTTTTCCCGCCAACAGCAAAAGGGGCAAGGGCACTCAGGGGGACCTGTTAACTCTTTCCTACCTCCTGGAACCCATTGAGAGTCGCACCAGATTAACACGCCCTGTCACAATGGCCCTGCAAGGACGGCTTGGTGGAGTAGAAACATTGGTGAATGCAGGATGGGCTATAGACTGGGAAGAAGGGCAAAGATGGGATGGCAGAATGAAAAGGGGAAAGAGGGAAGAAATGGGACACTTAGTTGCTGATATGGATAGAAGCAAGGTTTCCTCTTTGGCCCAAATCTAAGTTGGAGGACTTCCAGAGTCCTGAAAACTGTGATATGGGTTTAAAGACACACAAAAAGTCCTATGAGCTTTCTAAAGTTTTCCAAAAGTTCCAACATAGCAAACAACAGGGTGGGAATGGAGGGTAGTGTACTGATAATTTCTTCAGTTCAGATTTTACTAGCAATAGCCAACAGTTCTGAGATCTGAATCGCAAGGCACTAGGCACAGGGGTTGACAGCCATTCGTGAATTCCTTCACCGTGGCCCCAAGAGGGCGTGTTGTCAATCCTGCCACACGGGTGGAAATACCAAGGCCACAGAGCCAAGTGATGGCAGAGCCGCAACTCCAAAACCCACACTCTAAGTTTATATCCACTCTGAAAGGATGCGCTCGGCTCCAGTGTCCCAGAGGAAGCCTCCCCGTAAGGGTCAGGAAAAAGAAGCTGGACGGGCAGTAACGGTGAAGGAAGGCCCCTGGCAGAGGGAGACCTGGTCAGCTCAGCAAGGTAGAAATGACCCTTGCTGAATACACAAGGGGAACTCAGCCCTTGGTGGTGACACCAGGAGGTCCAAGCCGCCAGGAACAAGGAATTGCTGCCAGAAACAAGCTGAGCTACCCACTAGCTCCTACCAAGTTGCCACACGGTCCCTTGGAAGACCCGAGTTTCCAGAAGGCAAACACGGATCGATCGCAGGACGCTGATGACGTCTTGCTCAGGAGGAGAAGCCAAACACGGGGAGCACACAGTGACTCTGTGTGGCAAATCCGTAGATAGGCACACATACACAGACCCGCGACTGCCATGGGTGGGGCAGGCTGTCTGCTGAGGATGAGAACAAACCACCTGGGTATGGCACTTCCTTTGGAATGGTATGTGTCTACGTCCAAACTCTTCAAAAAGGCATATATTAAAATGTATGCCACTTTCGCATGTCAGTTATAGCTTAAGAAAGGTGCCTGCAGCAAACCGTACAACACTTTGAATGCCTTTACTGCCGCCGAACTATACTGCAAAATGATTAAAATGGTCGATTTGGTATTATATGCATTTTACCACCAGGATAAAGGAAGTAACTCTCTACAAGCCTCTGACCTTATTCAATCAAACATGAGACTTACACATGGAGCCAGGGCTCGGGTTCTATGACCACTGGGCTCAGAACTGGACGTTCCCCTAAGACCCTCAAGTTTATTCAGTCATGTTTAGAGAGAGGGTGGGGCAGGCGGGAGGGAAGGAAGGAGGGCGCCAGCAGCCAGCAGCCGGCCAGGAGCTGGAGCAGCCTCCTGGGCTCAGGCAGCCCATGCCCTGCAGCCCCCCTGGCCTCGGCCCACCTGGCAGGCATGACAGCTACTTTCACAGGGCTGGGAGCCCAGTGTCCTTGGTCTGCATTAGAGAGTCAACAACCATTTATCTGGAGCAGGGGAACAAGGCGGTGGCGGTGGCGGTGGCAGAACTCTGACAATATTTAATGACTGGGGGTAGGGACACTTTGTAGGTTGGAGGAAGGCTGGAAGGCAAGGAACCAGAGGAGGGAGCTGAGAACTCCAGGGGAAATTCTGTTGGGGGTGGAGTGAGGGGGGGGGAGAGATAAAAGGGGCTGTAAAGCAATTTTGACAAGTTAACAGACAGGTAATATTCCAGCGGTGTTTACTTAACCAGGCTAGCGCTTCATGCAGCGCAGAGGAAGCTGGGGCACGAGAGCCTGGGCAGCTGAGGCCTGCAGGGGAACAAAGATCCAGTCAGAGAAAACCAAATACAGCCAGGCCCATGCTGGCAGCCCTGTGGCCTCTCCTCCGGCTCGGAAGCCACCCTGAGATGCTTCCGGGACACCCATCTGAGAGAGAACTTCCAACCTGAATCTTCCAGGGTCTGCCACGTAGAACACAGCCTAGCTTCTAACTGCCTTGTCAGAACCCTGAAGCCATATGTCCCCCACTTCAACACTTCAACACAAACCCTGCTCCTCAGCTCATCTTAGCCAGCCAGGCTTGAGCCAGGCTTGGGAACCCAGGCCTGTAATCTCAGCCCTGGTAGATGGGGGTGAAAGGACCACATAGTCAAGGCCAACTTGAGCTAGATAGTAAGACCCTATCAAAAAAGAAAAAAAGAAGAAGAAGAAGAAGAAGAAAAAATAGGAAAAAAAAGACAGACATACAGAAAGAAAGAAAAGAAGGAAGAAAAAAAGAAGAAGGAAGGGAGGGAGGGAGGGAAGGAGGGAGGGAGGGAAGGAGGGGGAGAAAGAAAGAAAGAAAGAAAGACAAAAAAAAGAAAAAATAAACCCTCAATGAAACATAATACCTAACTAACCAATGGAGACTAGGCCCTACCACTGTCCCAGGGCTGAGAATATATACCCAAACAATGAGATTCATGTCAGCTCTGAAATTCCACTCTACCTCACCCAGGTCCAAAGCCCTGTTCAGCTATCTCCTCCCTGTCATATACCAGTTAAACTCTATGGACCTCAATGTCCATATCTATTGTACAGTACAAAAGCTCCTACCAGATTAATGTGTTGTTAATTATTATGTGTTCATGTCACTGATGCAAATTAATAATGTAATAATCACAAGGAATAAAGAACAGGCAGGCTAAAGGAAGAAAAGCAGACAGATAATAGGAAGCACCGCACACATCTGAGATTCCTTCTAGCAGTCTCTGCCACCCAGTGGGAAGGTAATCTGAATACAACAGTACACCCTTCAGATTTGATTTTTAAAAGCTGTGCACATTGTTTCAATTCAAGCTCCACTCTCCCAGGATACAGGGAAATCTCTTTACAGGCACCAGAAGAGGTGTTGTGCTGACTGAGGAGCCAGGGAAAAACACCCAAGACACCTCAGTTCTCAGAGGCCCTGGCAGCTGCCCCGAGTAACTGGATATGGCTCCATGTTCGTGTATTTCTCAGAGAACATAAGTGTTCAAAGACATTGAACCAGCACTCGAGGGGTGCCAAGATTATGACTTCATTTCCTACAGGCTTGCCTGCCTCTGTTACAGGACACTATTTTGAGGTTGGATTATATATTTTTAGGTTATTTGGAAAATCATTGTGGCTTTAAATAATAAAATTCTGAGTGACATCTGTCAGACTCAATTACTCTGAGTCTGCTAAGCTGCATTTTCTTTCTCTCTTTTTTCTTCATTTTTAAAAGTGCAATGAAGTAAGTGTTATCCAGAAAGGTTTGCAAGAGTCTGCAAAGTTGTGTATTAAACACTTTATTGAAACTGGTCCCAAAGGCTTACACTAGAGACCCAGGCTACGAGCCCAGGATGGTACACATAAGAACTGAACTTGGTAGGAAACAGAGATACCTGTAAGAACCACAGGGACATCTGGTCAACTTCTTTGTTATACCATCAGGGAAGTAGAGACCCATGGAACTTGAAAATTGGCCTCACATTCACAGTTGGCCACAGTGAAACCAGGATACAAGGTAGGCTTCCCCTGGGCTCTGTTCAGTAGAGACTCTCCAAGTTATCCTGAGGGCCCATCATTTCTTCCAGTCACATGATTCGAAAAACACATTGATAAGGATTCCCAATGGCTGTACCACCCGGCAATATTACACCAGCCTTCATCCACATGAACCCCTGTCCTTCCTACTTTAAAGATTTGATCATTATCCTTATTTTGAAAAGTGTGTCTTGTTTTTTCATCATGTGAGTTTTACCTAAAAGGGCCGTGGTATGATACGAGAGTCCCCTCTGTGTGCTGTGATTACCATTAATGAATATAGAAACTGCCTTGGCCTGTTGATAGGGCAGAACTTAGGTAGGCGGAGAAAACTGAACTGAATGCTGGGAGAAAGAAGGCGGAGTCAGAGGGACACCATGGAGTCGCTGCCTGAGATAGAAGTGCTGAAACTTTGCTGGTAGGCCACAACCTCGTGGTGACATACAGATTAATAGAAATGGGTTAAATTAAGATGTAAGAGTTAGCCAATAAGAACCTAGAGAGCTCATGGGCCAAGCAATGTTTTAATTAATACAATTTCTGTGTGATTATTTTGGGGCTGAGCAGCTGGAAAATATCAAGTGGCCTCTCTCCTTTCAACAGTGGTGGTTTAGAAAGCCCCATTTGCAACACAAATGGGGAATGTCTGACAGCAAACAGCATCCTCTTGAGAGGACCCTGGACCCATCATCTCCCCAAAGTCATTCATCCCATCCCCCATCCACCAACATGAACAAGCCTTAGGCATTTGAGATTGTTGGATTCCCTTGTACCAGAGAAAAATACGCATACACAGGAAAGCTGCATGTAAAAGCTTAAAGTGAATAGCTATGTGTACTAAGAACACGCCTGACACAGAAAAGTGAAGAGTTGTTCAGAGTCAAGAAGCCCTTACTGCTCTTGCAGAGAACCCAGCTCATTTCCAGCACCTATGTCAGGCCACTCAAAAATTGCTTAGAACCTTTGCTCCAGGGAATCTGGTTTCTCAGTCCTGTATGATGGGCACACATAGTCATACTCACATACACACAATTAAAAATAAAATAAATCTTCAAAAAGTAGTTGAAGAGTTAAACACAACCTTTCTTGTTAGCCAAGGAAGATAAAGCTAGATATTAGAAATGAAACCTGACCTCAAAGGCTTATACAGGAGAGACCTAGCTACAGGCCTAGGGTAGTACACTCAAGAGCTCAACAAGGTAGTGCCCAGAGATGACTGTGAAGAATCACAGAGGCATCTGGTCAACCTCCCCACTGTACCACCACGGAAGGGAAGACCTATGGAGCTTCATCTGATATAACCATCTGACAACATGACTCCACCCCAGTCCTTTTCCAATAGAAAGCATAATCAGCATACATACAATGTTGGGAATTTTGTTTACCCGTCAATGTCTGTCATAGCTCCATAAGATGCCCAGGAAAAAAAAAGTATGGTGAAAAAGTATTAGATGGAGATGTTAAGTGAACTTGTGAAGCAGTGGTTCTCAACCTGTGGACTGCAACCTCTTTGGGGGTGAAACAACCCTTTCAGAGGGGTCACCTAATGCAATCAGAAAGCAAAGATATTTACATTATTGTTTATAGCAGTAGCAGGATTACAGTTATGAAGTAGCAATGAAAATAATTTTATGGTTGGGGTCACCACAACATGAGGAACTGTATTAAAGGGTTGCAATATTAGTAAGGTTGAGAACCCCTGCTCTAAGTGAAGTCAATTCAAAGAAACTCTGAGAGGCACATATAACAGAAGTGGTACAGACTAGAAATAAATCCAGAGACCTGAGGCGAGACACCCCCCCCCCCCAGAATGCTCCAGGCTTTGAACCATCCTTCCATGTACAAAGCTCTGGGCTGATGCAGGATGAGAATGGTATTGTATACCATATGTTACCAAAGAGCAAACCGAAGGAGCAAGTCAATGAGATGCCCACCCAGAGTGCTGCTACTTTCCTGTAAGAGTTCTTTCCCTTCTTCAGGAAGCTTTATTATTAGGTACTTTTTTAAAGCTATTATTAATGAGATTTTTTCCTAATTTTTCTCTGATAGTTCACTGTTAGAATAATGAAGCTACTTTTTATATTGATTGTGTACCCTACAGATTTACTACAAGTGTTTATTACACCTAAGAGTTTTCTGGTGGCTTCCATTAGGTCCTTTAAGTATAGACTCAGTTTATTCTTCACCCATTGAACTTTTTATTCTCTTAAAATGGTATTTTAGAGTCTTGATATCACTCCAACAGTACATTTCACCCACCGCATCCAAAGCATTCAGAGTCTACTAATTCAGGAGGTGATGAACCAATCCTACATGCCCTTCGCCTTGCCAACAGCAGATGTCTAAAACTATGTCACCATTGTGGCCATTAGGCCCAGGTTAATCAAGCCTAATGTCATCTCCAGAAGTCCAGGGAAGATGACTTGGAAAAAGGCAGAAGCCTTAGGCCACCCCTCAGTGCTCTCTGTGCAGTGACCACTGGAAATGAGCAACCTCACAAAACAGCCTCCACCAAATCCACTCTTCCCTTGGCAAGCCTCTGTTCCCAATCCAGATCCTGTAATCTACCAGGACATCTCCAGACAGGATGCCAGGTGCTTGGTCTAGAAGACAGTGGGTGC